GTAATTAAAAGTGTGGTTATTATACACAAAGCTATTCCACCCGTAGTAAATTAAATTATCGTAATTCAATTTGCAGCAATGTAACGCAAGATACTCGCGGTGATATAATGCGTGGTAATTCAACGTTTGGCAGCTAAATACATGGAGATATAAAACACTGTTATTTAATCATTATATTGAGTTAATATAATGTTTGAATTAATATTTTTTACATAATTTATTTTTCTTTTTGAACACGTATCCATTTTTAATATAATTGCAAACAGAACTATATTTATAGTAGTTGCGTGGCCCACCCTGTATAGCAAGGCATACATATGTTCTCCCACAGTCGCAGATGCAAGCGTTAAAGTCTCCGTTCACCGGCATTGAAATCACTGCTGTACGATTCTATTCGATAGGACAACCACTCATGCAATGTATTTTAATGCCACACAATTCAACACGCCCTACAGTCGCTTTTCAATACATAAGAGCCATTTTGCAATATATAATCCTTTTAAGAAAGAAATTACAACCGACGAGCGCAAATTTATATGAAAGTTTGTGTGGGCGTTCAACAAAGTATGCAATGAATCCGTTACAAATTTTTAACCGTTTTTTTAATATTTGTGGGTAGACATCGGTTGCCACAAAGATTACATATTTGCGATATTATTTATGAAACTGCTAAAACTAGTACAAATTAGTTATAGATTAATACAGAAAGGAATAGTTGTTTCATTAAATTTCTCATCTAATTTGATATTTATAACGTAAATATCTAAAGAAGATATAAAATGCTATAGTATATAGTAAATGAATTTGTCTATAAAATTGGAAACTTTGGGAAGCCTCAATCTTATATGTATACTAAAAATTTATATTTTTTAAATTGCATTTTATTAAGTTGCATTCTCGTTAAAAGAGGGCTAGTAAAAAGGAAAGACACTTACTCGAGCTGAGATACGAGTGCTCCAACCTAAAAATGCTAACCTAATTCAATATCCAGCGCGTTGACAGAAGCGCCCAATTCAAATAACTCATCTGTGCATGCAATAAGATGAGGCAGGAAAAAATAAGTCCTTATTAAAAGTCTTACCGCTCTGCTAAAACTTTAAAATACAATAAAAAATAGATGATCACGTCAGTACATGTAGCGCCGTTTAGCGGCATGTGTGAGAACTAATGAAACCCGTGTTTCAAAACCGTGTAGTTCAGCCTGCTCGACGGAGAGATGGCGCCACGTGTTCATTGATGACGTCACATTTTAAAAAGCGCGCGTAAATTTGAATTTTAAACAACATAGGAATGAAACTTTTAGAAAAATATAATATTTATTGTCAAAATATTATTACTAATATATTATTTTCTGGCTTATAGGCTTTTCTTAAGGCTAAAAGTAATGTAAATAAAAAAAAAAACAAAAATAAGCTTAAGAATTGTTTAAAATTGATAATACTTTGGTAATGTTAAAACATTCAGAAGTCAACTAGTTTTGCACTCCGATGCAATTTGTGCGTACTGCAGTAAATTAAGTTAATAAAATCAATATTTGAATTTTTACAAAGTGCAGTAGTAAACCGTTAAAGATAGCCATACGCAGTAAATTTCCCAAAAAAAAGCATTACCCAGAAAAGCTAAAAAGTGGGGGTACGAACACGCATGTAAGGAAAATAAAAAAATGAAAATTTCGGCACTTTGTCGACGTAGTATGGTTCCTGAGGCATTTAGAAACAAATTTCTATTAGGGGTTGATGCGTTTTGATGCCTAATAAAGTCAGAAAATCAATTTTTGTAGAATTCGGTCCAAAACGGTACAAGTGGCGCCATCTAGCGGCAAGCGGCGGAACTACGAAAAACTAAAATTTTGATTTTTCTCGAAAACTAGCGAATTTTAAGTACTTCCGAAAGTCAGAAATCAATCTGTGACCTCCCTGGAACCTATATGATGCCACAAGAACCTCCTCAGAGCGCCAGAAAAGAAAATAGAAAAATAGTCCAAAACATGGACTAAAAAATTGGCATCCATCTAGCGGTGAAAGTTGGAACTACAAAAACATAAAAATGCTATTTTCTCGAAAATTAGCGAACTTTGAGAACTTCCGAGGGTCAGAAAGTGTTATGTGATCGTAGTAGAAGCACAATAATGCAATAAAAACTTCCTACAGGCTTTAATAAAGGAAATTTAAAAAATGTCATTTTACGGAGAAAATTTGTGGCGCCATCTACCGGCGAAACTGCGAACTAAACTGAAAAAACGTATGTCCGAACACGCAGTAAGTATGTCCGACCACGCGTTAAGGAAAGATATAAAAAGTAATATTTCGCAACTTTGACGACGTCGTATGCTTCTTTAGACATTTCAAAGCAATATTTGTTGAATAAGTTATTCATTTTTTTGCCTATAAAGCCCAGAAAATCAATTTTTATTTGACCCCTTAACGCGTGTCCGGACATACGTTTTTTCAGTTTAGTTCGCAGTCTCGCCGCTAGATGGCGCCACAAATTTTCTCCATAAAATGACATTTTTTTTATTTTCTTTATTAAAGCCTTTAGGAAACTTTTGTTGCATTATTTTGCTTCTAATGCGATCACATAACACTTTCTGGGCCTCGGAAGTACTCAAAGTTCGCTAATTTTCGAGAAAATCGCATTTTTATGTTTTTGTAGTTCCAACTTTCACCGCTAGATGGACGGCAATTTTTTAGTCCATGAAATGGGCTATTTTTCTATTTTCTTTAATAATGGTCCTAGCAGGCTATAATTAGATTCGTTCGATTCCTTAGGCCACAAGGAACAATTTGTGTATCTCGGAATTTTGGAAAAGTCCCTAGTTTACGAGAAAATCGAAATTTTAGTGTTTCGTAGTTCCGCCGCTCACCGCTAGATGGCGCCACCTGTACCGTTTTGGAGCAAATTCGACAAAAATCGATTTTCTGGCTTTATTAGGCATCAAAACGCATCAAACCCTAATAGAAATTTGTTTCTAAATGCCTCAGGAACCATACTACGTCGCCAAAGTGCCGAAATATTGCACTTTGCATGTGCAGTAGAATTGATATAGGCGGCTTATGTACGTATCGCAATGCTGACATAAAATAATTAATTACTCATTACCCGAACATTATTTATGAACTTTTATGATCGAACCATGTAAATAATGCATTGCTGACCATTCTTCAATCATAAAAGTGCACAAAATATATCCACAAAACGTATAATTAATTATTCAAGTGACCTCGCATATACCGCTTGTCACCATGACTGGCCTTAGGTTGTAAATTAATAACTAATTAATTTCTTTAAAAATCTGAACAAATATGATACGAGAAAGTATCTGAGGGATTACTGAACATTCTTTTATAATAAAAGTGCATAAATTGTGTTTAGAAAATGTGTTATTAATTATTTCAAATTAGCTCATGCTTACGACGTATTCCGCCGACTTCGTGTCGGATATTAATTAATAACTAATTATTTACAATAAAAATGTGAACATAAGTGATATGAGAAAGTAGCTACGGAATCACTGAACATTCTTTAATCATAAAAGTTCATAGACTCTGCTCAGAAAGTGAGTAATTAACGATTTTGCTTACTGATTATCGTGTATATTCCTCCTGCGCGCTGCCACGGAGAAATAATCACCGAAAAGCCATATCCCCGTAGACTTTAATGCAAAATTGAATTTGCTCGCGCTTATGTACCTGACTTTTCAACTTTTTTGTCCACGTTTTTCTCTTGCACCACTCAACCAATTCAACCGAATAACACGGTTCACTATTTTTGCTTTAGCGTGAAATTTACTCGCTCGCTCAACATTGTTAGGTTAGGCGCGAGCGCCTCAATCAAACAGACCCAGTTATTAATATTTTGTGCTGTTTGCATATTCCAAACAATATCAGAATGCAGATTATGTGTTCAGAACCAGGATGTGTCCGTACATATACGGTCGGTAATATAGAGAATAACGTTGGTAATATTGAGAAGAACGTTGGAATCAAAGAGTAGGGATACAACAAGAGGCGACACTAAACAAGAAAACCTACCTTCTAAAAAGAAACAGAGACACAACCAATTTAAATGCGCAAATCAAAAGAAGTAGTGCATGTGCATAGCGTAGAAGTATGGCGGTCAAAAAGAATAATTTAAACCTGCACATTCACCAGTAATTTATTTCTAATAAATATTTTGTCATATCTCTGTAACACATTCATCCGTAATTTCTTGTGATATATAGTTTTTCATTTTCTTACAAGTTATTTGTAATAATCATTTCCGTAATACATATTCTTCAAATATATTTTGTAGAGCAATCATTTTGGTGTATTCTTTTCTTTTCAACTTTTCAACGCCGTAAAATTGATAAAATACCTCGAAAGACAATATTAGTAATATACAGAAAATTGATTACAAATATATTCCAAATTATTAGAGATTGACATGAAAGTAGATTTGCTCGATTTAAATTTCCCGCTGGTTTGTGCAAGCAATTTAAAGGGACAGCGTTTTCGAGAGATCAAAGATGCCGACAGAGAGTATCGCCTCTAGTTTACTCTGTGATTGCAATGGTAAACATTTTTCGTTCGAGTCGCTAAAAACTCTTCTCGCAGATGTTTGCTTTCGCAAAAAAGAGCTTGTTTGCAAATTTTGGACAGAATTGGAGTATAACAATTTTCCGAAGCTTCGATTTACCTTCCACTTAACAGTTTCCTGTTATATCGACGCGCTATCGATATGCTTGTTCACGACCACGGTCGACCGTCACGCTCGAAGCTATCGCTGACGCGGTCGAGCCCCTGATCCATACGCGCTCTCATTGGTCAGTGTTTTTTGCTAATAAATCGAAAATGAAGGTTCCGTCAATATTTTGGTAAAGGAAAAATTTGTTCAGAATCGTTCCGCCCACCACCCCTTTCCAGCTGTTACACTAGTTATGGGACACCCTGTATACATTAACAGTATTCAATAAAACTGCAACAATCATATGCATATGTGCATACACAACAAAATTTGTCTTTAAAAATTGCGTTTAATTTGCGGTATCATTTCCACAATAATACCTTCAACATTTTTCACTTAATATAACTTGACGCTTTTTTCGAAATATACATTAGCCTTTGTAAAGAAAAAGAATAATCATAGATACATTTTTTTCATTCAGTACTAGTTCATGTTCTCATTTTATTTTCAATTTGAGAATAAATCTACATCAAACGCCATTAATGTTAGTATTCAGATGTCTCAGACGATGTGTTCTAGCAAAGCACAATACTTTTTATCCATTTTAAGTAGGAGGAAACTCTTGTATACACATCGGGCTTGGGACCACAGCGTATACCAAAACTAACAACACCGATTAAGTAGGTCCATTTGGTACCCCTGAGAATCAACGGGCCACCACTATCACCCTGTAGAAAAATATTAACGTTAAAAGGTTTGACAACCACTGCAACAGCCGTTGTCACAATTATGAAGAAACAATAACTTCAAAAATGGAAAAAGATCTGAAAGCTAAGTGTAAGATACTAAACCTTACAAGTGCCTCTCCCCATGCCACCAGCGCACAATTGCTCATTCGTAATACCGTTTGGAAGTCCTTCAGACTTGTGTATAAATTCACTGCAAATATCATTTGGTACCAAAGGAAGTCGAGCTTCCAAGAGGCGATCCGATGGGACTGAATTATCTGTAGGAAAAATAAAAAAGAGAAATGAATAATATTTCGCAAATTGTTTGTCGCGTTTTTCTTATTTACTTTCCGTAGTTTGTCCCCATCCAACAACGATTGCTTCCAAAGAATTTTTGGGTGGATAACGAACATCGCACACACGAAATGTCGTCCAGCAGTCTGTGGGATATTTTAACTTGAGAAGGGTAATATCGTGATACACGATAGGAAATGTATAGTTAGGGTGTTGTATTATTCCGGATATTCGATGATACGTCGCATTCGTGTCATTTTTCGTGCGAAGATCCACAATTCCGGTGCGAATGAGAAGTTCGTGGCTGTAACGTACAATAATTAGAAGCAAGCAGAATGAATGTAGGATCTTGATCACGATCATTAGCCTTAGTATTAGGTCTTAGTATTAGGTTTTGAAATAATCCCGATTAGACGCACTATTAATATAATTAAAATAATCGCCCAGATTTTGTATTGACAAGTAACGACATAAATACTTACATACTTTTATTATAAGTGCAATGCGCCGCGGTTATAACATATAACTCAGAAATCAAAGAACCACCACATAAATTCTTTGATACCTTGCTTATTAATAACAAAAATCGCGACGTGGTACGGATATTCTGTGATACTTTTAACTTCCCAACTTGCGTTAATTATTCCAAAGGGCGGCAGGCAATCTGAAATAATTAGTTTGATGCATTAATTTCAAAAAACGCTCTGGGCACAAATCGCTCTCGCATATCATACAAATTTTGATTGATATAATCAAACAAAAATTTTACAAAATTAAATTTCTGGCGCATCGCTTTGAACCACAACTTATTACAGTAAAACCTCGATATAAGCGAAAATAACGTACACGAGTACTCACTCTATTCAAAAATATGTTACAAATACATTAGGAAGAATTTTATAACAAAAATGTTTTATCCTCGCAGATGAGTATGCTGCTGTTTGTTACATTCAGTCGGTCAGCCATTTTCTTCTCCCGTTGTCCTCATATTTGACGAAACATTGAGCAATATAGAAACTACACGATATAGGCGAAAGTTCGGACCCGAGAGATTTGTTTATATCGAGGGTTTACTTGTGTTAAAAAAAGAATATACGTACCTCCTACAGTTAATTCACTTTCAGGATCATGAGGTTCTGAAGTTGATTCCGTAAGTGTTGCGGTTGGTGTTGTTGTGGATGATTGTTGAGTAGGTGTTACGGTTGGTGTTGTAGATAATTGTTGAGTACGTGTTACGATTGGTGTTGTAAATAGTGATTCAGTAGTCATTGCGGTTGGTGTTGTGGATAATTGTTGAGTAGGTATTGTTATTGTTCCTGTCGTAGATGATGATTCAGTAGGTGTTGTAGATGACAGCTGAGTAGGTGTTGCGGTTGTTATTGCCATAAACCGTATTCTCATTGATGCGTTCAGCGGACAGCAAACAATAGGTTCAAAAAAATAATATCCACCCACTGATATAGGAGATCCATTTCGAAACGCGTTCAAAACCGGTAAACATTTTCTCAGATACGTACCAGTACCCGGTGATCCGTTAATTGTACATGGTTCGCCTGCAAAAATATATATTTACACTCGTTACAATAAAAGTCCCCGTGGACGAAGCGCATTTAAACTGATTATTATAGATATTAAAAATGAATACAATGTTTTATACGATTTTAAAAGATGTTCAGAGCTGTCTTTGTTTTTTAATTATTAAACTGAATTAAATTTGCTGTCGGTTACAGTTAATGAAACGTAACTTATTATCGTTATTTATAGCAATTTTAACTTGTTTTCAGAAATTACTTTGTAAGCAACTATAATTTGATGCGATAATCTTAGCTTTACATTTGTACCTCCAGAAATGCTAATTCCTCTAGTATGATAAAATGAATCGAATATACCTTGGCACAGTATTTTATTTAATTCAGCTCCAGTCGAATATGTGAGGAACAGAAATACGAATGACGATAATATACCACTGATAGAAAATCGGAACCCCATTCTTGATCGTTGAATGCTTCTGCTTTTACTGTCACTTCCAACCACCGCTTCTTATGTTGTCGATTCGTCCCCTTCCATTTCCTTCAATTTGAACGTAGGAGGAATCTGCAATATGTATTACATATTACTTCTACATGCACAAAATGCGATATAAACTGGTCTAGATTCTACAAATAATATTTTCCGCTGAATTAGAAAAGAGTTTGACACTATTTGATAACGAATAATCGTACGCCGTTAACTCGCTCGAGTCCTGTTTTCATAAAGTGTACTAAGGATATTTCTTCTGTACTATGATGTTTCTATACTAGACTATATTTTTTATTCATCTGTAGAGTAATTATTTATAAGGTTGTTGAGATGCTTAATTTTGCAAGAAGGGTGCGTACAACTTTTACGAGTAAGAAATAGATTGACTACAATAAAGTCTAAGTTTTCCTCAAAAAGTCATAGCAAGCAATATTTCAATCTGAATAGAAAACTGTAAATAAAAGGCTCCTAAGATCAAAGATTCTGACTATAAACTAAAAGTACTCAGTAAAATGTAACTATTTGTCATTGCTGTAAAGAACATTGATTTGATACAAAAGTTGGCGGAAAAACTAAAAGCGGTACATTATTGTATGGATAGAAAACACAGTTCGACGTCTAATCCTTGCTATGACATATTTTAAGAACAGTGAGCCTAACGTATTACATGGTAGTATTGTTGTTAAATAAAGTTTTATTTCCGCCATAAACTTTGAAGTTTTAATGTTTCCTGAAACTCTGATTGTTCCACTCCATTTAACTTTATGTTCAGCGAGAATTTTGTCTTATCGAAGACTCAAGGATCAATTCCGCTAATTTAGACGAACTGCGTAACTGATAGCGGTAGATCAGAATATCATGTTGAGAGGATACTTAATTTCTAAATAGTCGTATGCAATAAGAGTGTAAAGAAGAATGTTAACCGCAAGTGACCTTTTATATTTAATAATAAAGCTTTTGATATTTACATATGAGGGATCGGTTTGTTCGAGGGTCGTTGAACGCGATCGGGCGCTCGGACAATTGGCGCCAAGATAATTCGGCGGTATTACGAGTTGGCGCGAAAATTAGCGAGGGAACAAAGAATCGTATAGCAATTGTTTCGTTTTACGCGGGAATCGGTAGAGAACGAAGAAAACGTCGTGGCGTCGGGGGACAGTCTTGTCGTAACGTTGGAAGTAGTAAGTTCTCCGAAAAGTTGTCGTATCATTGTCTGTACTTGATTTTTATATTTTTGTTGATTTTTGTACTTTTGTTAAATTATTAAAACTATTCTGTTATTGTTATCCCCAAAAAACTATTAATCCGTCATCCTCGATAATTTCGATCCTACACATATATTACAACGTAGAATTATTAAAAGATGTGATGAGAAAATGGCGGAGGAATAGTATTTTGAAAAATTATTGCTATATTACGCTGCCTTGAAATAAAATTAAATCCCATACTTTCCCATAGTTTTTATTACTAAATTAGTCATGTAGACTACTGCTAATTAATTGAGATTTCGTATAATGTATAATAAGAAACAGAAATCGTGAATGTAATGCAAATGTACAAAATAAATTTAAAGAAAGAATTATGTTAAGTATCCATCATCCTTCACGTCCTCTTTCAAATTTTTGGCGGTCAATTTTGCATTCCTTGATTAAGCATGTTAAACAATTTAAAAATAAAAATAACTGTCATACAATACGGGGATCGTTCTATATTTGTAACACCGAAAAGAACATACATTTCCCATTGCACCAACGTAAATCATCTCGTGTTTTGACCACCATTTTATCTATTTCCTTCAACCGCGCGATTGTTGATTGCGCAATAATCGACTTCTTCGTAAGAGAAAATGTAATCGGAGCGACGTTCTAAATAAACAGCTTTATAAACTACCAGAAACTAATCGAGATAAAAAGCGCGGGATCAAGTTTACATATCACAGTTATACCAAAGAGTAGACATAACAAGACAAGGAAACCTACCTCCTAAAGAGATACAGAGACACAGCCAATTTAAATGAAATCAAAAGAATCGGGGGTGCATAATGTAGAAGTATGGCGGTCGAAAAAGAATAGTTTAAACCTGCATATTCACCAATAATTTATTTCTAATAAACATTTTATCATATCTCTGTAACACATTCATCCGTAATTTCTTGTGATAAGTTTTTCATTTTCTTACAAGTTATTTGTAATAATCATTTCCGTAATACATATTCTACAAATATATTTTGTAGAGCAATCATTTTGGTATATTCTTTTCTTTTCAACTTTTCAACGCCGTAAAATTGATGAAAATACCTCGAAAGACAATATTAGTAATATACAGAAAATTTATTACAAATATATTCCAAATTATTAGAGGTTGACATGAAAGTAGATTTGCTCGATTTAGATTTCCCGCTCGTTTGTGCAACCAATTTGAAGGGTCAGCGTTTTCGAGAAATCAAAGGTGCCGACAGAGAGTGTTATCTCTGGTTTACTCTATGGTAATACCTTATTTAATTCTGTGATTTTGATTTATTACATGTAGGTAACCAAACAAAGTAGAATGTGAGAGTGCAAACAATAACACGTTATAAAAATTTAATCTTAACCTTCGGTCAACAATTTTGTTCATAAACGATATTTTTACAAAACTATTATTTAAATTTTTGTTTAACAACATCATTTTCAGAATAATCGATCGTCGGTAAGGTAGGAAGCGACGCGAAAATGGTACACAATTTTTTTTCGAGTTGTCAAAAACCGATTTGACAGATGTTTCCTTTCGTAAAACACAGATTTTTTTTTTCAATTTCCTTTCGTCATCTATCTTCTACACATAAAATGTTATTTCTGTCACCCACCAAATTTGGACAGGGACGCGACGCGAAGGCATAGTTGCCAGATCATTACGCTGTTGCCTTATCAACCTATTTTTGGACATGACAAACTTGTAGGAATACACGTGTCAAGCTTTCTAATCGTAACGAATACAAAAGAAGGAACAAAGGAAGTGTCGCAACGAAGTCGAAAGGTTAGAATTGTAATATGAGATTTATTCAAACAAGGTTTTGTGAATAAATTGAAATTATAAATTGGTAAAACCTGGTTAAAAATTGATATTATCTTGCAAAACAGTAAAATCTATTAAAAATTACATTTATTTATTGTTCATTTGTATGTAATTATTTTATGTAAGCAAAAATATTCTTTATGGCATAAAGCAGGAATGTTATCTTCACTACTGGGGGGAGGTCCCCTGGCGACGCCAGAAACCCGCTTACCGAGAAGTGCCACGTGATCCGAGTGGAGTATATCTGTAAAACAATACACATACAAATATGAAACCTTCTTATTTTTCATTCTTTCGTTATCAAACTTCCGCCAATTGACTTCTCACGTTTCTCTGTTTAAAATGAGACCAAACACGATATAATTTGGTCGATATTTACTGATTCAATTGACGCTGAAAGTTTCCAACGAAGAGAAGGACAGCGAGTGAAAAAAAAGAGACGCTGCAATCGTGGCAGTCGGCAAAGATCAAAAGTCTTCAATTGTTTGCAATGCTTATGTACTGCTAACTTTTTTATTTTTAATCCATTTTTTATACAACCTTTTCCATTATATTCGTGATATTTTCCTGATTAAAATAAGACCAAACACGACATGATTCGGGTCATATTTACTTACAATATCTTATCGAGGTAAGCCCTCGACGTATGCGTAATGTTTGAGATTACAAATAAATGTTTCGAAATACGTCATCTTTAATCAGGAAAATTTTACAAATATGTTAGTTAAAGTTTCATATAAAAAGAAATCAAAAATAAAAAAGTTTTATTCTTGCATTAGAATTGTCCGATGTGTTACTGTTTCTTTACGTTCGCTCTCCGCCTTCAGTTATTTTTTACATTCAGCAAAACATTAAACAATGTACATCACATACTTTTTACAGTACTCTGTCTCTCATAACATGCTATACAATGTAATAAAATTTATTAAAAATTATATTTACCGTTCATTGCTAAGTAAAAATCACCGGCTCCCTCTCTTCTTTGCATTGTCCAAAATTCTCCTCTAATAAACCAGAGACACAAGGTCACGACACGACGACCATCACGACAGCGCTGCTGGAACAAGAGCCACAAATAGCCTCGAGACTCTGGGATTGGGGGGGTCTCTCAGAACTAAAAGAAGACGTTCCTAAAAAAACCATTCGAAAACGCCCTTGGTTGGGTATTCTATAATAGAATCTTGTATTCTCAACTTAGCTTTGTTTTACCTTTTATCTTACAGCATCTTTGCTGATTCCTTTGTTGTCTGCTGCCCCTAATCGAACATTGCGTGCAGGTGGAAAAACTTTTTCCGTGTCACTGACTTCTTATGGTGTCTGCGCCGCAGGTAGACCTTTCAAAGTAAAAATCTCCGTACGGGCGTTGACCGCAAATCAACCGTTAAACGAGCATTTCCAAAATTAAATCAGTCTTAATTTCAACGTGTATTTTCATTTATGTCCGGTTGTGAAGCGTTTGGCCCGTAATCCTCATCTTCTTCGGCGCGCATTAGTTTGCGCGCTTGCGACATTCCTGTCGACGTTCCTGTTTCTTTTCGTCTTTTAATATTTTTTTCGTTTCTCTCCTTTCTTTTTTTCTCCATTTTTAATAAAATTATGCCCGGTTCTTTCTTCATAGCTTTAGTTAACCGCGACATGACTGCCTTGGTGTTATACTGTATTACGGCGGCAGCGCATCTCGCCGTGTACGAACCCCGTTGACTGAAATTTATTCTTTTTCCGCCGATATATTTGACGATGACACTGTTAAAGCACTCCGCAGGATTGTTTGTGTAGTTGCATAACAAGCTCTCCGCGTGAGTCGTTAGTGGCTGCAGTTTTTCTTTTATTTGTTCGTACACTCCCGCACTCTTTAATTGTGGTACCATGTTCTTTTCATTTTGCTTACTTTTTCCGTCGCAAAAGTAGCTTATTTTGTCACACTCTGCATGCTCGCCGAACACGTGGCTTGGAACATTATTAATATCGCGGCACAAATTTTTCATTTTTTCCTCGCGTGATATATCCTCCTTCCTTCTATATTGCGCGGCTCTTACGATCGCGGAGCGCATGCGCAGAATGTTGTTTTCTATGGCCCTCCTCGTTGGTCCTTTCGTCTTCTTGGCAATTTCCCTCATTTTCCTGCAGAAGTTCCGTAACAAATGATTCGTGCACTCGATTTTTTTCACACGAATCTCCGATTTGTACGGATCTGCGTCTAGAATTTTTTTGTGTACACTGCTATCACCGTCAGCAATCACCGTCGAATAAATCAATCCACGTGTTTCAACGCTGGTTTTGAATCCTTCAAGCACGGCTTCGCTTTCCATGGCGGTACATGCTCTGCCTATGTCCCAATTTTTGAAACACGCGTGCTTTCGTGGTGGTTCCTTTCTTCTGGTGGCACCTTCGCATATTCTGCATCTCTTATTACGTACACCGAGGTATAGAACTTTTTTGGTGTGATAGCCGACTATCACACCAACTCCAGACGCGGAGTAAAATGCACCGGTGCGGTAGGATCTCTTCATCCAGCTTCCGTCAGTAACGACAGGAATGTGCGGAATGCCGGATTGAGGAACGATATCGCCTCTCTCGATAGCCAATTGCTTTTCCTCCTCAGCCGCTACTATCATTTCCTCCTCCGCAGCGGCGATCAACGCATTTACTATTTCGTCGTGACTTTTCAGGAACTGCCTTTTCGACATGCATGGTATGTTCATTGCCGTCAAAAATTCTTCCATCTGCGCAAAGCTGCCTCCGGTAAACATTGTTCCAGCCACGGCACTGTAGTTTATGTCCATTTCCTGAACTTCCTTAGGTTGACTGCGGATTTCGCCTCTGAAATTGCACATAGTGCACGTTACATTAAGCGTAGTCTTTAAGCCTATCTGTTTCACACCGGTGATTTGCAAATATTTTATTCCGCAATCTTCCCGCTTATCGGCATGATGGCCAATTTTTTTTATTTCCTCAAACATGTGCTGCATGTTCACGATATTTAACGCACTTGAAAAAGAGATTTCTTCTTTCTTGGGTGTTGCGACTTTTTCCAAAACCCAGTTATCTTTTTCGCCATCCGAAGATGCCGATATGGTCCCCTCTGCACTTTCCTCTTTTTGCTGTGTTGGAGTTACTTCCCATGACGTAGACATGGGTATTTGTTCATCGGATTGTGACAGCCGATTTTCCTCAGGAAGTTCCGTGGCGAGTACGTCAGCATCAGTATTTTGCGAGTTCCTTTCCAGAGAAAATAAGCGGCGTCGTCTTTCGCGACTTCCTTTTTTCTTCGATAATCTTCTCGTCGAAGGATACAATTTTCTTTTACGGGCTTTCTCTCCACTGGAAGTAATGTCACTATTGCTTTTCTTAGCATCGCTCATTTTAACTTTAGTATGCTTAAAAAACTGTATCACATGAAGCACGAAGTAAAAAACTAATTCGCACGAAGTAAAAAACTAATTCGCACGGAGCATTCAGTCACATAGGAAATAAAATAACTTAAAAAGTAAATCACTTAAGAAACTGCACTTAAAACTAGTTTACTTGTTTAAAAACACTAACTATTAACTTTTTAAAACTCTTAAAAAACTGTATGTTTGCTTTGCAAAAGACTCCGACCTGTCGTATGTAGATAGTACGTAGCGTATGTGACGTAAGCTTGCTATATCTAGCTGAAGAGTTGTGCCGTCTGACCTGCGCAGTAGGATGCGCAGTGCCACACCCACACTCATCCCATACGGCTATCTCGAGTTATTGACCGATTCGTATTCCAATCGATATTGTAGATACTTTGGTTGAAACCACGGACCAGTACTACAATCGCTGCTAGCGGATAATCGTTTTTCATCGTGTTAGATGGCGTCAGTGATGCTTTTTTATGGGAATTGTCTTCCAATATTATAATAAATTAATAAATGAATTCATAAAGGTAACTATTATTATTAAATTCCTAATAGATATTTATTTCAATATATGCATTTGAGTGAAAGTCTGAGAACAGAATAAATGAATGATTTTGTGATTTAACAAAATTGAAAACGTTTAAATGATGATAGCTTCAATTTTGTCTAATTGGATTTAACATTTTTCATTTGTTAATATGACAGAGTTCTTTATAACCAACGACGAAAAATAAATAGAGTTCTTTATGAGCAACAACGAAAAGTAAATAGTTCTTCATGACCGACGGCTTTGATGATCACTACATTTTGAGTGTGTGATTTAATTAACAATTTTATATGAACACAAAATTTGGCGAAACTCTGCGAAACTGTTATGCTCCGATATCAATTCAAATTTGTAAGTAAGTGGTTTTTTGCAAAAGAAGATATCTGTGAGAATGGTATTCAGTGATTCGAGAGAAAATTTTTTGCTATTCCTGTAGCATTATCTTAAGGTTGGTTAAAAAGTGATAATAATTTAGTGAAGTCAAAACAATTCGAAGTTAATTGGTCTTACACTTCGATGTAATTCAATTCATATTATAATCAATTATATTAATAAAATCAATTATTTAATTGAATTTAACGGAAAAAAAATACATGTGGCGTCATTCAGTGGCAGTGTGAAAAACTAATGAAACTACAGTTTCAAAAACGTGTAGTTCACCCTGTTCGCAGGAGAGATGGCGCCACTTTTCCATTTCGTTTATGACGTCACTTTTTAACAACCGCGTGTAGATTTGAATTTTTAACAACATAAGAATGAAACTTTTTGAAAAATATGGAACTATTATGTGCTCAAAACAGTTCGCGCACTATAGTCTTTTCGGTAAAAAGTAATTACAAAAAATTTCACAAAATAAATTTGAATACAATAACTCGTAAATAATTTACAAGATACTCGAAAGTTATGAAAATAATGAATTACAATAATTAATTTATATAAATGAGTTACAATAAAATATATCGTAATATATTAATTAACAAATTTTGCAACATATCTGTTAGAGTAAGTTAATAAAAATAATAAATTTAAATAATTCCAGCAATAAATTTGTTAATAAACAGTCGAAAAGTATGAAATTATAAAAAAATTAACGTTAAAATAATTATACAACATCCAATGAGAGTGGTTGCACGCTATTGGTGGATTACATGATCTCTAATTGGCTACTGTACACTGCCAATCACTCATACACTTGAATTCGATATATTGGTGCAATTCGTGATGTCTAATTGGCTGCTGTAATGTACCAATAGCTCGTACACTTGAAGAGGTCGCCGCTGCTCAGTTTTGTTTTGGAAGTCGAGGAGGTCGGATCTCTGCTGTCAACACTTACCGGTACGAGTCAAGGGTTCACTTATTCGATACTGTGCTTGTCCATGCGTTACCTAGTGTACTACTATTAGTGTTTAGTGTGCTTTAACAAATATTTTTTAATAAATATGTGGGTGTATTAATAAAATTTATGGTGTGATTCTACAAGTGTCAGTGACTTAACCAGTGTGTTACCTGCATGCATATACGGATATATTAGTGTACCTAGTGTTGTGTTACCTAATATACTAGTGCAAGTGTTTAGTGTGTTTTATCAAGTGTTTTTTAATAAATATGGGGGCGTATTAACACGATTTATGGTGTGGTTCCTCATGTGTCAAAGTACTTACCGGGGTGTTTTAATTTATAATTGTGCATGTGTATATGAATGCATTAGTGTGTTTTAAAGTATTGTTATACAAGTGTTTTACCATTATTTTTTAAATATTTTACCGGGTTTTATGGTGTTATTACCTGTGTTTTTACAAATTTTTGTGAACGTTTAATGAGTTTTATGGTGTGGTTACTTACGTGTTTTGACATGCTTGTGCACGTGTTTAATGTAATTTACTGCGTAGTTGTCAAGTGCTTTCCCGCCATTTTGGAAATATTTTACCGCGTTTTATGGTGTTATTACCTATGTGTTTTTACAAATTTTTGTGAACGTTTTAATATATAATTGTGCATGTGCATACGAATATATTAGCATGTTTTGTAGCGTTGTTGTGCAAGTGTTTTACCATTATTTTTTAAATATTTTACTGGGTTTTGTGGTGTTATTACCTACGTGTTTTTACAAACTTTAGTGAACGTTTAGTATGTTTTATGGTGTGGTTACCTATGTATTCTGTTATATTTTTGCAAACGTTTTAACATGTTCTATAAGTAATTACCGAAGTGTTTTGACATACATTCTCAAATGTTTTACAATATTTCACGATGTTACTATTGATAAACATTTACAAATTTATAACCGAATTCTGTAAAGTAATTATTGTACTTCTGCATGTTAATTAAAATGCAAATCGATAAACACAGTTAATTAATCGTTGTGATTCTTTTGTGATTACAGAAGGCCACACCAACTTCACGGACAAACCGCCAAATCCAAATCTGACGAAAGCTACCAATCAATCAATCAATCAATCAAGGAGCCAAGCAGTCAATCAGATGAGCCGCCTCTCAGATGCTTTATCAGTAAAACGATCGCAGTAATGCAAGTCAACGATCGGTGAGTCGCATGCTTTACGGTTCCTCCGGTGTATGTAAGTGTTTTCAATGTTTCATATTTGTCTTAATCATTTTTGTATGTTTCAGGTTTTAATTTTATGTAAGCAACTTATTTATTCCTATGTGTCTTAATTGTATTTCTCTGTTTCAGGTTTTTAGCGAGTCAATTCGAGGTTTATTTAATTTTTATTCTGAAAATGTTAATATAAATTTAAATGTCAGTATGAATTATTGTTACACCTATTTATTCTATAGGTAATAGGTCATCATTGAAGATGTCAATTATCGAGGGATCATCGTGGGATCATCGAGGGATGTGTGCGTTAATTTTAAGCTGATTTTATGCGTGCGTTCGTTTTAAACTAATTTTATGCGTGCGTTAATGCTAAGTTAAGTGTGCTCGTGGGCAGGGCGGGTGGGTCCTTGTAAGTG